TCAATATTTCCTGACTACAGGAAAGTCAATGTAAACTTCTAAGTATAGTAATTAGTTGTTTTAGATATAATCAATGAAATTATATTCAATTCTACCCAGTAACAATTCACCTAAATCTCACTATGGACCAGGTATTGTACTGATATTACACAGCCCAATGATAATACGATGAAAATGAACATAGTAAATAAGATTCCTAAGAAAATCCATTTGTAAAAAAAAAATCATATGACTCATGTCTGGTTTTTCAGCCACAATGTAATAAACTAATGGAAAGCTGTGAGTGATTTTTCTGTAGTTAGACCTGTTAGTTATAAACACCATTATAGGGGATGGGCAAGAACAAAAGTATAGAAAATAGAAGATCAACTAGAATACACAAAGCGAGTAAAATATAATACCACAGGTGTCATGAAAAGAATCACAGAAAAATAATTTAAAACACAGTTTACATTTTGATGAAAATATTTAGAACACAATTTTTTAAAAAAACCTCCTATAGCACATTCTCATTAGAAATAGCAATGAATTTTGTTCTGTGATCCTTTCTTGTTGTTTTTCAGTATTACTGACCTGGTCAAAGACACTGACTGTGGGCTAGCCAAACAGAAAATATGATATGGGAAGAAAAAGTAAATTAAAAGTCAATTAAAATAAATAATACATGTCTGAACAAATATTTACAAAGCAAAGTAGAGCTTTCAAAACAGCAGGGACAAGAACTGCCTACCTTCATTGGAATATTTGTAATAGTAGTTGAAGCCAAGTCAAAATGCTGCTGTACTAAAACATTCAGTTTGGTAGCAAGATGCCGTCCTGCACGAACACTATGAACTTCACTGGTTAAAACTGGAGACAACTACAGAAAAGAATACAAGAAAAATAACCCAGAAAACATTAATTCATTGTAACTTAGCACTAAATATTTTATTATAATCCATTAAAAAGGAGTGTTTTTACTTTTTAGGCTTTTTGGGAAGGCAATGATGGATGTATCGTGTCAACCTGAGAAGTTTAGAAGCTTAACTAAGCAGGACTTTGTGCTTGCCAGGCAGGTGCTTGTACCACCGAGCTACAGCCCCAGCCCAGGGTTCTCATTGTGTAAACATCCTGAGTCTGTGCAAGAGGAGGGCCTGGATACGTTATGGGGGTAAAGGACCCTCTCTAGGTGGAGAGTCTGCTGATTACAACAGAAGGGAGGGAAGAGCTTGCTCTGATCCCTTTTTGCTCTTGCTGCTTTCGCTGTCTTCTGCTGCCTTGAACTGCTGCCCCTGTGCCATGCTGCCCTGCCCTGGAGCCAGCTGGTTATGGACTGAAACCTCCACAAACTGTGAGCTAAATTAACCTTTCCTTCCTTCATTTTGGGTGTTGGGTATTTTGTCTCAGTAACTTAAGAAAAGTAACCAAGACATGGGTCGACAAATGAAACATAATTATTTTCAGAAAATATTTTTATAATGTTCTTTCACTGCGCATACACACACTAACTAGAGTTTACTAACTTACAAGCCAGAGACATGCCCATCATGTGTGAGCCCTGAGTAATACAACAGTAAGGAGACACAGTCCTTCCCCTCTTGCAACTTAGGGTAGAATGCTCTCTGATTTAACTATTTTTTAATCTAGATTTTGTACTTCTATTTATATATGCAAAATGGATTTGAAGTAGCTTACAGAAAATACTGTACAAAAAAATTCGTTTTGTGGAGGGCACAAAATCCTTCAGATAAAATTTAAAGAATACAGAAATCAACAGAAACATCTTATTTTATCACCAATAAACAGGATAAGGCAGCCAATTACTATCTCACAATAACACAAAAATTTCCTCATTCCACAATAATATTTATCATGAATAAACTTAAAACACAATGGCAATGTCTTTAAATACCACTTAAGTATAAAAATTCACAGATTAAGGTAATACTGGACATGTTTACATTAAAAAGTACACAATGAAATCCCAGAGCATAAAAAACATATAATTTGATATGATTACAAAAATGAATACATCGATATTTTTCTGTCTTTTCTTTTTTTCCAGTACTGGGGATTGAACCCTGGCCCTCACACATGAGGGGCAAGCACTCTACCACTGAGCTATATCCCTCCCTCCTTTAAAACTTTAAGAGAGGTTCTTACCAAGTTCGCTAGCCTGGCCTCAAGCTGGCCATCTTCCTCCCTTAGCCTCCCAAGTAGCTGAGATTACTAAAGTGTATCACTGTGCGTGGATGTATTTTATAACCTAGACTACTGACAGAGAATAACATGATGTGGATCCCTTAAACAGTCAACAGAACCGGGCGTGGTAGCGCACGCCTGTAATCTTAGCATTGGAGGCTGAGGCAGGAGGATCGTTGCAAGTTCGAGACCAGCCTGGGCTACAAAGTGAGCTCAAGGACAGCCTGAACTGCACAGCGAGACCCTGTCTCAAAAAGACAAACAAAACAGAACAAAACAAAAAAGTCAACAGAATCATCTCCTTTAAGGCTGTTTAAATCTATTTAAAAAGCAAAAAGCCTAGAGAATAATCCCCCCTGCAGTGTGTAGAAGCTAGTTTCCTTATGATCAAAAAGATTTTTGTATAATAAAAAGGTATTAAAATAACTAGCTGGGAATGGTGTCGCACACCTGCAATCCCAGCAACTTGGGAGGCAGAGACGAGATTGCAAGTTAAGAGGCTAATGTGGGCAATTTAGCAAGACCCTATGTCAAAATAAAAAATAAAACAGGCGGGCGATGTAGCTCAGTAGTTGACTACTTTGGGGTTTGACCACTAGCAGTGTAAAAATAAACAAAAAACTTGTATGGTAATTATTAAAATAAATACCAAAAGCCAAGCAAAACAGAAAATACTTTAAAAACTGTAACAGTCTTTATGTTTATCAACCTAAATGTTGCTCATGTGTTTGCTTTGAAAATTTTAAATATTTTCTTAGCAGAAAATATTGGCAACATGATCATCATAACAGTTACCTTTCTCAGCATTAATTATAACAATTATAAAAAATACCTTTCCTTCAATACTTCTACACTTACCTCTTTTTTAGGACGATCAGATACAAGGCTATCTTCACCAACTGGGTAGGTATGGATCAAGACCAATTCACATTTTTGAATCTGCATGAGACTTTCAAGAGAAACTTTTACAGTTAATATATATGCTATAAACAATTCAAACAGGTAAACTACTAAGAACTTACTGTACCAGAAGAATGTATTTCTATAATCAGCTGTTACTATTAACACACTAGGCTAACTAGTTAGTGTATAATTATTGTATTCATATGAACACTTACTGAGTAAATACACAAATTTAATTCAAATGCAAAAATGATAATTTTCTGTGTGCTTAGAGGTAAAAGAAAAGGGAATATTTTTATAATATTCAATAATTATTATAATGAATATATTATGCATTAAGTCCTCTTGCATTAATAATTTTTTAAAGACAAAAATCAAGCAATAATAACCATTCCCTACAATTGGTTATGGCCAAAACTACAGGATTAGTAATGCTAAAACATTTTCCCCAACATTTTATTTTGAAATTTCCAAGCCTTGAACTAGACATCGTGGGGGACACCTGTAATACCAGCATCCTGGGACCCTGAGGTATCTGGATCACAGTTTTGAACACAGTCTGGGCAACTCAGTGAGATCTCTCTCAAAACAAAAAATAAAAAAGGACTGGGGATGTAGCTCAGTGCAAACGCTCTGGGTTCAATCCCCAGCAACACACACATACACACACACATACACACAGAAAAATTTCCAGACTTACAGAAAAGATGACAATACTATATTCAATGAAGACTATATATCTTACATTTTATACCACATACATTCACTGTTAGCTTTCTCTATATACATCTGATGTACAAAGAACACTTCTAAATACTTGTGCATGTCTCTCTTAGTAAAAAACAATCCATAAAAAAGATGTGGTATTTCTATACAATGGAGTACTACTCAGCCATAAAGAAGAATAAACTTGAGACTTTTATAGGTAAATAGACGCAACCTGAGCCCATACTCTTAAGTGAAAGAAATCAGATTCACGTGTGAACATCATATTGTCTCCCTGGTGTGAGAAAATGCAATAAATAGGTCTAAAATGTACAACAGATACTGTAAAATGGGAAGAAATTGTTTAAAAGGAAAA